GTGAGACATACATAATGTTTCATTGCTGCTCTTTCTTCTCTTTTAAGAAGGCATTGTAGGACAAAATGAACCTGAAACTTCAAGGAAGCTCTCATGACAAACAGATTTGGGACCAACTTGAAAGGGCTCTCCTTTTTCACTTGCAGTGGGAAAAAGTAAAGCTCTGTATACACTGGCACAGCCTCATTGCCTCTCCCCAGTACTGGTAATAAAAATGCACTGAACACTACTATGACCTTTTAGGTCCAGGTGTTATCTTTGGCCTTCATAGACCTATCCTGGCTCCATCAGGGTTGAACGAGGACACAAGTGCATCAACAACATGATGCAACCAGGTGGGGAAGAAATCAAAACAGCCCTACCTCACCTTAACAATATCTGTAAACAGCACTTCTATTTCAGGGCCCTGATTACTAGTGAATCCCTGAAAGAAGCCAGTGACAGGAAAGAAGGAAAAGGAACAAAATTGACTGTCTGCGCACACCACATTGTGCTAGATGCTTTACAGATAGCTGCTAATCCTCACATCCTCTGCTAATTATCCATATACTTTGGAGGAAGAAATTCAGCAAAGTTAAATAGCTTTAACTCTTTAGAGAAAGCCTGAACCACCCTTTGGTTAGAGACTCAGATAAAACAACGTTATGAGTGAGCAGGTATTTTTCCATAGCATAAAGGCACCCCGTTCTCCCTACTGCTCTGACTTCTACTTACAGGTAGCCCCAGCTGCTCCCGAGGCTCCCAGCTAGTCAAGAGAGATGGGTTTGGAAGTGGGCTGGCACAAGGAAAGTCGATGGAGCCACAGGTAGCCCACTGGCAGAATATAGACTTGGAAAACTAGGGGTCTATTAGTGTACAGTTTTTTCACACCGTCCCTGAAGAGGATGGAATGTTTATGATCTGTCAGGAATAACAAGTCAGTGAAACCTGGAGAAAAACAAAGACTCTGAGATCTCATTTGTTGCTGAGAGAATGCTAATACTAACGGCTTTCAAAGTTATAGACTCAAATATTGTATATGGCAGATTTAGCCCCAGGCAAAGGGAATTCCCAGTCTTTTAAAGGAATGGACCTGCTAATTCTTAGAACTTTGAAGTTGTACTTGGAAAAGCAGCTTATTGAAAACAAAGTTGCAGGGGCCGGCCCCATGGCTTAGCGGTTAAGCGCGCGCGCTCTGCTGCTGGCGGCCCAGGTTCGGATCCCGGGCCCGCACCGAGGCACCGCTTCTCCGGCCATGCTGAGGCCGTGTCCCACATACAGCAACTAGAAGGATGTGCAGCTATGACATGCAACTATCTACTGGGGCTTTGGGGGGAAAATAAATAAATAAATAAAATCTTTAAAAAAAAAAAAAAAACAAAGTTGCAATGTTACTAACTAGGTCTAAGCTAGGAAAAGATAGTTAATTCAGGCCATTTGAAGTAAGCAGAATTTTTCTGTTATCCCTAAAATGTGATTTGGGTAATAACCTTTGAAGAGATTGTTATTTAAGGTAAACTCATTTGGTTACCATCAATAAAATGCAGAGGTCTGAATTTTATTTAGTGCATTTAACACCCAGAGGCTATATAACCTCAAGAACCATGTGTGCTGAGGTATCTAAAAATCAGCTCTTTGCTTCCTTAGACCTAGTCTCCAAAATAGGTTTGGTGCATTACGGAAAGAAATCACATCACGCAAGTACATATATTTGTTCTAGTTCACTTCTTCAGAGTCCCTGAGAAAACTGCTCCAAGCAATGCTCACATCATCTCCTTCCTCCCCACTCTGTTGTCCTGTTGCCTGTGCAACAGGAAGGTGCTCTCAGAGGCAGTGAAGACAATGGTTGAGGAAGACGGGCAGGGAGAGTGGCACTGGGGGCTCCAGGATGGAAGGTGACCCAGGGCGTCCAGGCCAGTCATTTCAGACATGTCCACCTAATACACCCGAGTTCACCTCAAGATCAAATGATACATGGTGTTAACAGATGCCTTTGCATGAATGTGATCCTTGAGTAAAAACTCCAAATACAAAACAAACTCAAAATTTTGGCTCAAGACATGTAACTGAGATGACTTGCAACACCATGTTTCCTGCTAATTGGTTCTTCAGCTACATCTGTCCTGTTTTTCTTTCCTAAGAAGAATAGCGAGTATCATCATCTGAAGATAGGCATGGTAATGTATGCCACTCTGAACCAAACTCATGTCAACCCTCTAAGCACCTCCAGATCATGGTGAGCCAGCTCAGACTTTCGCAGACAGGCTGTCAGCTGACAGCACCCTAGCAGCCTGGTTCCAGCACAGGCAGGGGTGGAGGTAAAAGGAGGGTTCCTTTGGCTTCATAAGTCACTGCAACGTAACCATTTTCCCTCATTCAGAACAAGACTATTGAGCTTCTCTGAAAAAAGATCTATTGTTAACATGCTGACAAAACTTCAAGCTATTCCAATATCTGACCACAGGAAGAGACAGTCCCTGGAGATAAAGTACTGCTCTTTAAAATGTGCGATGTTTTTTTTTCTTTTTCAAATTCTTGATACTCTACCTTGCCTTGTTCCAGAAAGGATCTGGAGGGAAACACATCAGGCTAGTGACAGCTTTGCCAGTTAACACTCCTGATGTGTAGCTCCCTGCCCCAGACCCTGGGCTAGCATCTTGGGGAGTGTTCCCAAGGAACCTCAAACTAGACAGACCACATTCCATACCACTCTGGGCTAAAAGCCAAGTGCACACGAGACGGCCTGCAATGGGTCAAGAGCCATGGTAGGTGCAAAGGAAAGAATCCCTGACCTCTGGCCCCTAACTTCCTAGGAGAGTCAAGATCTCCAACCAAGTTTAGCTTCTAAGCTTGTCCTACCTCACACAGTTGTTACGAGAATTAAACGAGGTACCAATGAAACGCCAACACAGGCTAAGGATTACATATTCATTCAACTGGATGAGGCATCTTTGTGGTTTTGCTCCCCACCCTGCCCTTTTTCTTTTCCTTGAAACTGACGGTGTTGTGTAACCTAAGACTTCCCAAAATCTGTTTGTAGTATGACTGTGTCATTTTGATAAAAGAGAGTTGTGGTGAGAAGTAGCAAACGAACACAGGCCCACTGATTTCTCACTGAAATGGCCTAGAGTCCAGCTCTCATACACAGCTTGAATTTTCTACATCCCCTATAAAAGAATATAAAGGCGAAGCCAATTGAATCTTGGAACACCAGTTCTCTGAACGCCCTAACCACAATGCCATGCCCTGCTGTGACTCAATTCTTGGGTCACACAGAAGGTGTTTTCTGCTTCTCTTCCTCTTCTGTGGTTCTGGCCTCTTGGGGTGGGGGAGGGAGCCAGGAAAATTCTGTCTGTCTTCTCTTCAAATCTGAGCGTTGCCACACCTATTATCATAATACACCCTCACTACGAAGAGAGATGGTCATTAATAGAGAGAGACAAGTAAATTTATTCAAGGATTAAGTTATTAAACCAACCACAGTAATCCCTCACGTTCTGGGCCTCTGCACTGTGCTATTTTAGATATTAAAGGAATAATGTACCATCTGTCTGAAGTAACTAGAGGTCAGCCTTATTTGAAGCAGTCATCATTAGCTACTCAGGTCCTGGTTCAAACACAAACATGTTTCAAAAAGCGGGTAATAACTAGCCATTATCACCCACTAACATTTAGCTTGAATAAATTCATCAACTGGCAGCCAAACACCTCATAAGAGTTAAACAATTTGGTATATGACATTATTCTTTGAGTCATACATTCTTAAAAATCTGGGAAAACAGATGGCTTCTGAGGAGCCATCATTTTTAGAGAAAAGAAACAGTGATCTAGGAAAACGCTACAGGTCACGATGTGAATGAAGTTACAGGAGAAAGCTAGGATGCTCTGCCCACTTTATTCCTTCAACAAAAGTTGACTGGCACTCTGCTAAGTCTTAGGGATAGAAAGATAAGGTATGCTGCCAGCTTCAAGGAGCTCACAGCCCTGTGAGAAGACAGACAGGGAAAGCGCAGTCCAGCGCTAACTGCTGTGATGCAGCTGTGCACAGGTGTGCTGGGAACAGAGGAAGGTGCTGACTCAGACCCAAGAAGAGCCAGGAGAACTTCTCAGAAGAGCCAGTATCTGAATCTTGAAGGTTTTAGCCAGGATTAAAAGAGGAAAGGGGAAAGGCTTACCAAGCAGAAGCTGCACATAACACCTTCAGCCCTACAAAACAATTCAGAGTTCCCGAGCCCAGGGTTCATCAGGGAGGACTGTGGAGAGATGAGGCAGGATGAGGGGGCAGGGCCCAAATCTTAAACGCAGTAGGCAGCTACTAAGGCTTTCAAATCAGGAAGTGACAAATCAAATCTGCACCGTGGTGCTCTGGTGGCCTGTGGGAAATGGACTGGCCAGGAGAAGAGCAGCTCTCCAGGGGGGCTGTAAAGATAAGGCGGTGGGAGGGAACTGACCGATTCCAGCAATACTTAGAGGGGGTGTGGAGGAGAGAAAAGGGTCTGCCCTCCAGCTCTCTAGCTCTGCTGCCGCCAGAGCTGAGAAAGACACAGGGGAAGGGAGTGGAGATGATGGTAAGTTCAGTTTTGGATATGGTGGCATTGGGTATTAGAGACTATTCTGTTGGAAATACATGGAAACAAGTTAATGGATCAATTCTAGGTAATAGTCAATGACTGATAACATCACTTTTAATGGAAGTATACTCTGCTGCCTGTGAAGAATTGCCAGGGGAAAAAAAAAATTGAACCTGAATCTGACCAGGATCTAGATCCAATTACCAGTTTACAAGATATATACAGAGGACAAAAGAACATGTTATAGGAGGCCACGGGGATGCGAACTGCAAAATCCAGAGAGTCTACAGACAAATTACCTAGTTTCTTCTACAAATAAACTGCAAGGAAGAAGGAAAAAACAGAGGGGGGACCTATAAAGGATCTGAGATATCAATCAATATAGACCTTATTTGAATCCCAACGCAAACTGTAAAAACTAAACAAAAAAAGTTTAAGTCAGTCAGGCAATGTGAACATTAACTGGTGTAAGGGCAGATAAAACTGGAAAGACTTAATTACCCCTGTTGAAAATAAGGGAAAAGACTTCTCCCCTGCCTTTTGTTTCAGAATTTCTCTGTCCTTTTCAAAGGTATGTAAATCTTTATAACGACTAAATGAGCCTCTTGCCAGGAAGGTTCAAACACAAGCAGGGGAACCACCTTTTTGAAATGCAAACATCTAGGGACCCCATCTCCCCATTCCAGTGGGAGAATAAGAGGATAACTCGGTGAACACAGGTGGTGGGCCCTTGCTCCAATTTGCAGAGCTACCTCCTGTGTTAAGACATGAGAAGTCTGTTTCCCCTCCAGATAAAGCCAATCAATTAACATAGGCAGTCACTCCAATTTCCATGATCAAGTTAGGATAAGCTCCATGTGACAAAAGGTACTGTTAAGTCCTCTTACTGAAGGACTAGTTATTTATCTTGAAAACATGTAATGGGTTGCACTGCTTGGCTATATATAAGAGTGAGATTTCTTTATCTTTGCAATCTCTTAGCAGATTGCCTGATATAATGCTTATTCGATAATAAATTGCTTCCTCTCTCTACTACCTTTGTGGAGAGGTTCTCTCAGTTGGGAGATTTTTTTTTTTTAATTACTATATTTCCCCAACACGGGGTATTTGATATTAACTTACTTTGGGGGTGTGATAATGGTATGTGATTAAGTTTTAAAGAATTCTTGTATTTTGAAGATATATAATGAAATATTTGCAGATGTTTGCAGATATGATGTCTGATTTGCTTTAAGAGGTATGGGGGTGGGGTGAAAAACATTGGCATGTACCAATGATTGACGCTGGGCAATAGACATATCAAATTCATTATGTTACCTTCTCTACTTCGGTGATGTTTGAACACTTCCACAATAAAAAGTTAAAAAAAGAAGATACGTGGAAGCCAGCTGGTATACAGGTTTGGAGCTGGGAGGGGAAGTTAAGTGTTGGGGATAAATCTTCGCAGGTGTCAGCATACAGGTGACAGGAAAGCCATGGAAATGGACAAACTACCAACTGAGACCACATAAAGCAGGAGGATCCAGGACAGAACCCTGAGGAACATAGACATGTAAAGAGTAGGCAGCAGAAGATCAAGCAAAGGAACCTGAAGAGTCAGTTTCAATAAGGAAGGAATGGTTAATAGTGTTGAATAGGGTGAATGTCGCAGTGTCCAGTGTATTAGAAAGTAGGAGGTTGGAGACCTGAGCAAAACCAGTTTCATCACTGCAATGATGGCCCAGGATGCCAGGTTATAGCAAGTTGAAGTGTGAAAGGGCAGTGGGGAAGCCAGGATGGTGGCTCTGAGAGAAACAAAGTAATTGGACAACAGCTGGAAGGCTACAGAAGGCCAAGGGGATGGCAGGTGGGTGAGGCTTGCACACTTAATTACTGAAGGGACAGGCTAGTAGAGAGAAGTTGAGAAACAAGGGGAGAGAAGGGGTAACTGCTGGAATAAGGACCCTCAGAAGGCAGAGGGGATGGGGTTGAGAGCACAGGGAGGTGGCGTGGCTGAGCTATACCAGTCCAATTCTGCTCTTCCCTTCTTCCACAGACAGGATTATTAGCTGGGAGCATGACCTCTTAGAATAGAGACTGAATTCACCATCTTCCCTTCTAACTATGGCCATGTGACCCGTTGGGGCCAAAGGATAATCAGAAGTATCCTGCAGCAACTTCTTGGGAACTTTCCTTAAGGGAAAGCACAAGTTCTCCTTTTGCCTGCTTTGTTCATTCTTCCATCCTGCTGCCAGAAATGAGGCCACAACCATCGGGGACCATTAGATAGAGGCCTTGCTGATAGCGCAGCAAGAGAAGAATCTAGACCTGAACTTCACAGAACACAGATGCCAAACCAGCTCTGGACTTTTCTCTAGACTCTGTTTACTGGAAAGTGAAATCAACTATTTTTCTTAAACCTCTTATTTTGGGCTCTTATCACGTGCAATCCGTACCTACCTAATACTGTAGTCCCCCCCTTATCCACAGTTTCACTTTCTGCAGTTTCCATTACTTGAGGTCAGCCGTGGTCTGAAAATATTAAATGGCAAATTCCAGAAATAAACAATTCATAAGTTTTAACTTGTGTGCAGTTCTGAATAGCATGATGAAATCCTGGGCCATCCTGCTCCGTCCGACTGGGGAAGTGAATCATCCCCTTGTCCAGTGTATCCACACTATAGTCACTTAGTCACTATAGTGACTATCCATTTATATAGTCACTATCCACTTAGTCACTTAGTAACAGTCTTGGTTATTAGTATGTTCTTACAGTATATTGTTATAATTATTCTATTATTTTATTAGTTACTGTTGTTTCTCGTACTGTGCCTAATTTATAAATTAAACTTTATCACAGGGATGTATGTATAGGCAAAGACATAGTATATATAGGGTTTGGTACTATCTGTGGTTTCAGGCATCCACCGGGGGTCTTGGAACGTATCCCCCGTGGATAAGGGAGGACTGCTGTACAAGGAGGACTGGATCCCTCATCCTCTGGAGGAAAGTGTAAAAGAATCTTTGTCGATACAACTAATTGAGGGATGATGGGGAGAAGGGCTTAAGTTAAGGGAGTTCATACTTGAGTTGGAACAACAGGGCCTGGGGGAGTATGGGTACAGATTTGAAATAGCTGTCATGGGAGATGTGAGAGGGGATACACTAGGAACAGGATTTTCAGAAGTTGGAGACCATACATTTATGATGGTGCCACTCTGAGTTTCTTCAACATGGGTAAGAGTTGAGAAGGCAGCTGACAGCACCAGTCGAGGGGTCAGGGTGTATATAGCAAGAAATGAGGTTGTCAATCACTTCTACTGCTGACTGTATGACCTTGGGAAAGCTTAAGGTCTTCAGGCCACACTTTACTTTTTTTTCCCATTCTCAGCTTTTATTTACTGATCAAAACAATGTGCTAAATAACAAGTTGAAAAGAATTTTTCAACAATACTGCATTATGTCCCTAAGAGAAGAAGCTACAACCTCAAGTGATCTTCCTTGTTCTTAATACATCTTCTATTCCAAATGATTTTTTTTAAATTTTTTTTTACTTTAAATTGTGGTAAAATACACATAAAAATAACCATCTTAACCATTTTTAAGTGGTATTAAGTATATTCACATTATTGTGTAACCATCACCACCTTCCATCTCCAGAACTCTTTTCTTCTTGCAAAGCTGAAAGTTTGTACCCATTAAACAATCTCTCTCCATTCCCCCTTCCCTAGCCCCTTGGCAACCACCTTTCTACCTTCTGTCTCTATGAATTTGACTACTCTAGGTACCTCATAAGTGGAATCATACAGTATTTGTCTTTTTGTGACTGGCTTATTTCACTTAGCATAACGTTCTCAAGGTTCACCAATGTTATAGCATATGTCGAATTTCCTTCCTTTTTAAGGCTAATATTCCATTGTATATATGTGCCACATTTTGCTTATCCATTCATCCATCAATGGACACTTGGATTGCTTCCACCTTTTGGCTATTGTGGATAATGCTGCTATGAACATGGGTGTACAAATACCTCTTCGAGACCCTACTTACAATTCTTTTGGATATACGCCCAGAGTGGAATTGCTGGATTATACGTTAACTCTATTTTTAACTTTTTGAGGAGCTGCCATACGGTTTTCCACAGTGCCTATATCATTTTAAATTCCCACCAACAGTACACAAGGGTTCCAGTGTTTCCACATCCTCGCCAACACTTACTTTCTGGGTTTTTTTGATGCTAGCCATCCTAATGGGTATCATAATTTACTTTTAACAGATTAAGAATGACATAATAGGGCCAGCCCTGTGGCTTGGTGGTTAAGTGCGCGCGCTGCGATGCTGGTGGCCCGGGTTTGGATCCCGGGTGCGCATCGAGGCACTACTTCTCCGTTCATCCTGGGGCCGAGTCCCACATGCAGCAACTAGAAGGATGTGCAGCTACGACATACAACTACCCACTGGGGCTTTGGGGGGAAAAAAAAAAAAAAAAAAAAAAAACTTTAAAAAAAAAAAAAAAAAAAAAAGAATGACATAATAGCAAGAGCCTAGCACAGTGTCTAGAACATGGTGAATGTTAGATATCAAACAACTTTGAAATAAAAGATAGAAGTTAAGTTCTTTGCTGCCTTTATAAGCAGGAGAGATATGGTTATACTGAAGTTTGCCAAATCCCAATAATGTCTATACTAGGTTTGCCTATATTCAGGGACATCATCAGTGATGTATGCTTTTGCTAAGGCATTAGCAAATTACTAATTCCAGGACAGCTTCATCATCCTCCAAAAAGAAACCAGTACCCATTAGCAGTCATTCCTCATTCTCCCTCAGCCCCTGGGAACCACTAATCTACTTTCTGCCTCTATGGATTTACCTGTTCTGGACATTTCATATATAGTTATGCACCACATAACGACGTTTCAATCAACGACGGACCCCATATAGGATGGTCGTCCCATAAGATTAGTACCATACAGCCTACGTGTGTAGTAGGCTATATCATCCGGGTTTGTGTAAGTACACTCTATGTTGTTCGCACAATGACGAAATCACCTAATGACGCATTTCTCAGAACTTATCCCCATCATTAAGCAATGCATGACTGTAAATGGAATCATACAGTATGTGGCCTTTTGTGTCTGCCTTCTTTCACTTAGTATAATGCTTTCAAGGTTCACGCATGTTTTAGCACGAATTAGCAATTCATTCCTCTAATGGCTCAATAATATTACATTGTATGGATATATCACATTTTTCTTAAAACAATTCAGATCTCGCATAAAAATCCAGATTTCTGGCTTTTCTTGAAAAACTGGAGATAAGAGAATAGAAGGTCCTCCCCTTCCCCCATGGCAATCACAGGCTAGAGCTCAGTAATAGCCTTTTGTCTCCTGACTATGCCAGGCACCTTTCTATCTCTGGGTCTTTGCACTTACTGTTCCCTCTGCCTAAAATGCTCTTTCCTCAGACATGCACATGGTCCCTTTCCTCACCTCCCAGAGCTCTGCTCACATGACAGCTTGCCTATCTACATATGCAATGCTTACCCTATTCCCAATACTGGCTATCCCCTCATCCCTTGCTGTCACCATTCTATCACACTCATTACCATCTGACATGCTGTATGTTTTACTTATGTCTGTTTCCGACCCCCCCCATTAGAATGCAAGTTCCATGATAACAGGGATTTCTGTTTTGTTCACTATTATATTCCCAGTACTTAAAACTTAGTACTCAAATTTTTGAATATACAAATTAGTGAATGAACTTTTTATAGTTTTTAGTGACTAAAAGCTGCTCCTAAGAAAAATAAACCTGAAAATGATGTTTAAACAGCTTTGATGCATACTTTATATTAATTCACATTTTAAGTTCAATGAGTTTGGCAAATACATACAGTCCTGTAACTGCCACCACGCTTAAGATATAGAGCATTGAATGGTTTTTAAGTCACAGTGACACATTAAGGTAGGTCTGTTTCCTACTGTCAGGTATGCCCAGAACTTGAAGATATCTTTAATTAAAGCTTTAGGCTGCTATTTTCAGAAGTCATATTAAGGAACATGATGGTTCAAAATCAAAGCACCAAGAGAACAGGGAGTTGCTAAAATCCCAAGGGACTAAAATATAGTCCTAAATTAACTAACGGCCAAATACACTAACCTAATGAGTTATATGTTAACTTACAAGAAGATTATGTCAAGTACTAAGAAAAAAAGCAAACAAAAGAACAAGAATTTATTATCAAAGGCCTGGGGAGAGAGGGCTTTGAGTATTCCAGTCCACATGGCAATTTATTTCTCACTGGAATTTACAAACTGATTTAGCAGTTAGGATCTTTCAGCTGCAAGCAGTGGAAACCTATTCTGGCTAATCTCAGCAGAAAAGCGATTTGTTTAATTTGGGTAATTCCCAGAATCTTTAAAAGGGCCAAAATCTGGTTTAAAAACCACATTGCCAGGAATAATGGCCCCAAAAGTCACACTTGCAGGATGTTCCATTGAAGACACTATTGCTGCTGTCGCCTCCATTACCAGGGAAAGGTACTGTGGCTTGCTGTGGGTAACCCCACTGACGCTGGAGAGAAGCTACTGCTAGAACTTCTGCTACCACTGCCTGTCACAGAATGAGTTTTGCTGCCCCTTCTCCTTGAATTTCAAATCAAAGTTTAGGATGGGTGCTTCTGTTGGTGGAGCCTAGGTCAAGAGCCCACAATCCTAGCTGCAATGAAAATGAGGTGGAATGTGGGTGAAGATAAGTCTAAAGAGGTAGATGCGAGTCGAATTATGGAGGACCTATCCTATTGGCTGTTAAGTGTGGAACACGTACCACTAGTGGTTGAAAGACAAATACCAAAATGTAAAACTATTAAAATGAAAATGTGTTAGAAAAATGTATCTAGCACAACCCTGAGATTTCATTGTTTCTTGTAGGGGCAGGGTACGTTTTCAAAGTATGAAGCTTTAAAGCCAATTTGGAGAAAAACACCAAAATAAATAATATGGCAAATTAGCAAAGATGGTTTATGAATGACAAAGCTGAGAAGCATGGATACATGTAAAAGCAAGACATGGAAAGACTTTAAGCAAAGGAGAAATACAGTCTTAGATCACTTTGGTGGCAGCGAAGAATGTGAACTGAGGAAGGCAAAAATGGGACAAGAGATACCATTGGAAAGTGAGGCCAGGTGTGAAAAGGACAGAACTAGAGCAGTACCATTATGGAGGGCTCAGACTTTGCAATCAACAGATGTAAGGGACAAAAGGGAAGGAGGAAAGAACTGATGGAGTAACTAGATAATGAGTGATAGTGTAAAACAGACAATGGGAAGACAGCAAGAGAAGCAGATTTGAGGGAGAAGATGATGAATTTTGTTTTGAACATTGAGTTTGAGACACCTGTGAGAGTGAGATGAGGCTACTTAGAACAAAGTTGGAGGAACAGGCATGGCATTCTAGAGGAAGGTCAGAGTTGGAGCAGTTATAAGAGTAAGGTAGGAGTGGATGAGATTGGTCACTTGAGGCATCCACAGTGAGAAAATGCCAGGGATGGAACCCTGGGGACATCAACATTTGAGGGTTGGGAAGAAGAGGAGGATCCCACAAAGGAGTCCAGGAAGAGAGGAGACTTAGGAGAGAGTAGAGTCTTGGCTAACAGAATATTTCAGGAATAGAATGGTCAGTTGTGTAATAGAGAGGTCCACCAAAATAAAGGCTGACAAATCAGTAAGCTTGGTCAAGGCAGTTTCAGTGGACTGGTAGGATGGAAACCAGGCTGAAGCATCACTATCATACAACTAAACTCTTGACTGTTAACATTCTCTCCAACCACTGAAAGCAAATACAGATCCCTGAACTCACCTATTGATCTGTTCCAAATGAACAGCTCTCATATCTCAGATTCTTAGGTTTAAACAACTATCTCAGGCCCTCTAGCGGTTCTTGCTGAAGCAGACCAGATTCCTGGGTCTCAACCCAAGAGATTCCGGTTCTGCTATCTGATGGAGCACTAAATGAAACAGGAAGAATCAATGTCCCTAGCCTAGTTGAGGGGAACCAGAATAGCTCCCAATTGGCTTCCTGAACTCTAGGACTCTTGGCCTGGTCACATGGGCATGTTAAATTTAGATTGTTGTTCCAGTGGCTGTCACCTCTTTTCTGTATCAGAGCTGGGTCAGATTACCATAATTACAATGATAAAGACCTCAAACTGTTAATCTCAGTTTACAGCTATCTTTCACTACAGAACACTCATTCTATTTCTGAAGAAAAAAGGGCAGGGCCGGCCCCGTGGCTTGGCGGTTAAGTGTGCGCGCTCTGCTGCGGGCGGCCCGGGTTCGGATCCCGGGTGCGCACAGACGCGCCACTTCTCTGGCCATGCTGAGGCCGCGTCCCACATACAGCAACTAGAAGGATGTGCAACTATGACGTACAACTATCTACTGGGGCTTTGGGGGAAAAAAAAAATAAATAAAATTATAAAAAAAAAAAAAAAAAAAAAAAAAAAAAAAAAAAAAAAAAAAGAAAAAAGGGCAAATTACCACAGCTATCTGAGCTAACCAGAATTAGGAGCAGAGGCACAGCAGCTGGGCCTTGCCAGAGCAATTGTCTCTTCATTTCTCACAGGCTCTTTTTATGTACTAAAATTAACTGGTTACCTGAGAGAGGAACCATTGAGTGTCCTTACTAAACCCAGGGAAAGGGAAAAACATGCCTAGACACTAAGTCAAATATATTCAAGAAAATAGGAAGTTTAATTGATGCCATGGCAACATTGACAACCTGTGACATAGAGCAGAAGGAAAGGACAAAGGGTTTGTAAAAGTTACCTTTCCATGGGTCTTCTCTTCCTTGAAATTTGACCCATGCTGCTTATTCGAAAGTGCTCAAAGGACTTAGTTATTTTGGTACTGTTTCAGAATGGAGCAACTGAAACTTCTCTTGGTACTTTTCTCCAGCATATTCCTGGAGATGAGCCAAAACCACATGCTGGAAATCTGATGAGTGCCACAATCTTATTAATATGCAATGAGATTCTATTTCTAACTGCTGGTATATTGGGCTACCAATCAGTTACAGGGTAGGGATGTAAATTGTAAAACTAAAAATATTTGAAAAAAACGAAAGGGAAGACCAAATAAACTGAAGCTTCACCGTCACTTTAGGTTGAGTTTACAGAGGAAATGTTAGAAGGAATAGTATCTGAGGGAGAACAGCTTCCCCAGATTGGAGTGGAAAAATACCATGAGCTATGACAGGAAAGGAGGTCTATAAAGCCGGAGTAAGAGAAGAGGCTACTAATGTGCCCCTCCCACTCATTCAGCAGCCTCAGCTGAATGTTATAAATGTCTCCTGTGTAAGAGGCTGAAACTGATTCTTTTCAGGAGTCTCTTAAGACAGAACTGAGCAATGAGCAGGCAATTGGAGCAATGCTAGGCCCAATTTATCAGATGGGCCTCAGAGGTTTATCCAGCATGAAAAAACAGTGATTATCAGAGATTGTTGTCTTCACTGTAAAATGATGCTTTTAAAAAGGCAGAACATGTACAGCTGATTTAAAGGGACAGTATCCTCATCTGTAAGCGAGAATAAAAACCTCCCATTGGGTAACTTGTGACACATTAAGACTAAATCTTATCTTTCATCTTTGGTGGTGACCTTAGAGAGTTATTAAAATGATTAAGAAAGAGACCCTATTGAAGAAGGAACTGCAATTATTTAACAGAGAAGAGTCTTGAGTATTCAACCCAAGATATCAAATCCATATGTAGCCAGAGGCACATGAAGGATGCCTCAATTCAAGGTGATTTTGGTGACTTCATCACTCCTCTGT